GATGGGGCAGGGCGGGCAGGGGCTCAGGGCTGGCCGGCCTCCCCGCGGCCTCGCGGCCCCCAGGCCCCGTCTCCCTGAGTCCTCGCTCAGTCTGAGTCCTTTCCCAGGCCAGCCCTCCTCTGGGAGGGCCACTGAGTGCGGTCCCCGGAGCCGAGCACAAAGGTGTGAGAAACGGAAACAAAACGAGGCAAGAAACTGGTGAAGAGGATGGGGCAGGAGAGTGAGGGCTGGACACGGGACCCAGTAAGGACAGAATGGCCCCGCGAGGGGGTGCCATGCCCAGCTGTCTGGGTGTGTGCTTTTGAGTGAGGGAGAGCGGAGCACAGGCAGGGGAGGGGAGGGGGAGCATGCTGCTGGCCTTGGCCCCCCGCACGGCCATGCGAGGGCTGGGTGTGTGTGAGGCGGCGAGGTGAGTCGAGTTTCCTCATGGAGGCTCCTGGAGAGGCTCTAGCCCCAGCACCACCTGCCCCGTCGCCATGCTGCCTGCCCAGGGTGGCCCCCTCTAAATTGGCAGGAGCCCGGGAGCAGGAGGGCTGGGCCGGTGCCGGCTGACCAGGCCTTGCGGTGGCTGCACTGCTGGCCAGGCTCTGTTCATCTGTTCAACTCTGACCTCGCACAGGAGAGAGATGGGCCTAGGTACCCCCTCAAGGACCCCCAGAGCCTGTCACCCTGGGCTGACACCCTGCCCTCCTCACCTGTCATAGGGACCCTCCAGTGCGTGAATCAGGCCTTCCCTGGACTGCTCGGGGGCTAGGAGACTTTGGGGGACACAGAAGACTTCACTGACCACACACACACACACACTCACCCCTCCCAGACCCAGCAGGTCCCTCTGTGCAGGGGCGTTTGTGTGGGGTCAGGAGCCGCAGTGTTCTCTGGGTGTGCATCTGGGGGCGGGGTGTCCTCACTCGGAACCCCTGGAAGGGGAGGTCCCACTTGGGCCTCACTTAAGCGCGACCGTATCTCCTTTCCTTCTTTCCTGCCAAGGTCGTGGTTGTCCCAAGTCTCTAGAGCAGCGGTTCTCAACCTGTGGGTCGCGACCCCTTTGGGGGTTGAACGACCCTTTCACAGGGGTCGCCTAAGACCATCGGAAAACACAGATATAATTACATATTGTTTTTGTGATTAATCACTATGCTTTAATTATGTTCAATTTGTAACGATGAAAATACATCCTGCATATCAGATATTTACATGACGATTCATAACAGTAGCAAAATTACAGTTATGAAGTAGCAACGAAAATAATTTTATGGTTGGGGGTCACCACAACATGAGGAACTGTATTAAAGGGTTGCGGCATGAGGAAGGTTGAGAACCGCTGGTCTAGAGGGTGAAACAGGCTTGGAGGGGTGGAGGCCTGTGGGGTGTCAGGGAGCCTGGTTTCCAGCCCAGAACTCGGGGTGTTGGGTGACGCCTGCCCGCGCCGCCCGGCCTATCAGAGTCGGTAAGCCTGGGCGC